TGAATCTGTGTGCCAGGAGCATTAGGTGAAATTGCCAGTATTTGGAAGATGCATTGAGGTTCAGCACCTCTGGGCTCTAACTCAGGATCTGTACATGGTAAGCTTGAGCATACCACTTCCCCAGCACAGACTTCCTGGCTGTCCTTTGTATATCAGGTTCTCTGAGACCTTGTCATGGCACATGTAGACTTAACCAAACTACACGCACACTAAGAACAACTAATATCTCCATGCAAATCCTTTGCCCTGATTGACTCAATCCTCATGAAAACCCTCCAAAGCAAAGAATTCATGCATTTATTACTTTTAAAAATATTTATTACTGGGGCTGGAGAGATGGCTCAGCGGTTAAGAACACTGGTTGTTCTTGCAGAAGACCCGGGTTTGAATCCCAGCACCCACATGGCAGCTAACAACTGTCCGTAACTCCAGTCCCAGGGGATCCGACAGCCTCTTCTGCCCTCCACGGGCATTGCATGACCCAGATGCACTTACCTACATGCAGGCAATACACACATACACATAAAATAAAAATTATAAATTACTGGACTGACTGCCAAGTCTGACTACCTGAGTTTGATCTCTGGCACCTACACAGTGGAAGGAGAGCACTGACTCCTCTGACCTCCACACACCATGCACTGTGACATGCAGTGCCCCCATACACAAATAAATAGTGAATAAATAAATAATAAATAAATAAAATAGTTAAGCTACTGGAGAAAGATGGTCCAGTAATTAAGAGCACATGCTGCTCTTGCAAAGGACCAGAGTTTGGTTCCCAGCACCCATACCCAGTAGCTCACAACCACCTGTAACTCTAGCTCCAGGGGATCCAATGCCCTCTTCTGGCCTCCACAGATATCTGCACTCGTGTGCACATACACCAACACAGACACACATGGGCACACACACAGAAGCACATAACTTAAAATAAAAATAAACATATATACTTGTTATAATTGTTATTATTTTGTGTTGCTGGGAATCAACCAGAGAGCTTTAAGCATATGAGATAAATGTCATTTAATATTATATTGTTATTAGACACTGAAAGAAGTTTGAGGAACCCTCATTTGTATCAGGCCACTAAAGCTGGATATTTGTGGTATGTATCAGGTTGACAAAATGTGCAATTTGTTGTGCCTTTATCAAATAAATGGTCACTTTAGCATCTCATGGTGTAGTCATAATCAGTCTTTCTCTTAAAGAAGGCCTTGAAAATTAACTTTTCTCCTCAAACTTAGATCTACCTCTGCCACCCAGGGCCCAGGGACCATTGTGGAAGAGGGGGCGGAAAGACTGTAAGAGCCAGGGGTAGTGGATGACCACAAAGAAACAGTTTTCTAGGTACACAGAACCAGGAAGTTACTCATATGAACTCATAACAAGGGTGACATATGACCCATGGAAGTTCAAACTAGACAAAAACCCATCATAGAAGGAGGGAAATGGGTAAGAGGCCCAACCTTAGCTGAGGGACTAGTGGCCAGCAATGACTGCTGTTGGTTTTCTTTAAGGGAGTGACACTTGATAGGCTGATCAGGCTCTAGTGGATGAACTCACACTGAGGGACATTTGGGGACAGAATGCATGAATGAAAATCAGTGGGGTGTACAGATAGGAGAGGGAGTATACATACGATCAAGATGTACAGAATTCACAAAAAAATCAATAAAAATAAATAACTGCCATGAAAGTTAATAGGCATATCTAATCACATTAAAATTTGCATCAAATTTTCATACCTAATGTGCTGGATAGCTTTAGTGTCAACTTGACACACCTGGGTTGAGGGAGCCTCAACTGGGGTATTTCCTCTATTGGACTGACCTGTGGCCATGCCTGGGGGGCATCTTCTTGATTGTTGAGTGATGTGGGAGGGCCCAGCCCACTGTGGGTGGTGCCACCCCTGGGCAGGTGGGCCTGTGTTGTATAAGAAAGCAGGCTGAGCGGGAGCCAGGGGAGCAAGCCAGTAAGCAGCATTCCTCCATGGCCTGTGCTCCAGCTCCTGCCTCCAGGTTCCTGCCCTGAGTTCCTATCTTGGGCTCCCTGATGAACTGTGACCTGGGAGATGTAAGACAAATAAACCCTTTCCTCCCAAAGTTGGCAGTGGTCAGAGTGTTTTGTCACAGCAATGGAGAAACAAACTAGGACACCTAATTATATTTTATTTTTATTTATTGTGTGTGCATGCTCATATATGTGCATGCTCATACATGTAGGAGAGAGGCCACCTCTGGTGTCATTCCTCAGGCACTGTCCATGTTTTATTTTGTTTCTTGGGGGTTTTTCGGTTTGGTTTGGATTTGGGATTGGGTTTTGAGACAGGGTCTCTCACTGGCCTGCAGCTTGCCAAGATTAGGCTAGGCTGTCTGGCCAGTAAGCCCCAGGAATCTGCCTATCTCCACTTCCCCATTACTGGGATTACAAGCATGCCACCATGCCTGGATTTTTCATTGCTGTTGTCAGGGGGGTGTGTTATATGTTTGGTTGTTTGGTTGTTAATGTTGGTTCCAGGAATTGAATTCAGGCCCTTGTGCTTACAAGGCAAGCTTTTTACCTTTGAGCAATCTCCCCAGATTCCCTATTACATTTTACAGATTAAGTTTACATATGATTTCAAAGACTTTAATTACTGAGACTAGAACACTGACCACTTTCTCTAGTTCTATTCTAAGACTTTAGTCCACTACTTCTTCAAAATCTTTTTATTTTTGGTGCTTGGGATGGAAGCCAGGGCCTCACACATCCTAGGCAAGCATTCTACCACTGAGCCACAGCCTCAACCTGTGCCTGTCTCTTATACACTATAACACACACACACACACACACACACACACACACACACACACACCCCTCACAAACTAAAATTAAAATAGAAAAAGAGCTGGGCATGGCGGTACACGTCTTTAATCCCAGCACTGGGGAGGAAGGGGCAGGCAAATCTCTATGAGTTCAAGGCCATCCTGGTCTACATAGTGAGTTCAGGCCAGCTGGGGCTACAGGGAGACCCTGTCTCAAGAAGACAAAGAAGAAGAAGGAGAAGAAGAAGGAGGAGGAGGAGGAGGAGGAGGAGGAGGAGAAGAAGAAGAAGAAGAAGAAGAAGAAGAAGAAGAAGAAGAAGAAGAAGAAGAAGAAGAAGAAGGAGAAGAAGGGAAG